GGGGGCAGGCAAAGAGCAGTGGGGGGGGTGTCTCTGCAAACACATGTGACTCCATTTTAACCGTTTAGTGGCCTCCTGACTTTAAGAACAGGATCCCAACAAGCCTGGCCAGAGTCTAATGCCTTACAATAGGCACCTCTGTCCCCCAGGTGAGGTGACATCTGTGGTGGGCACCGTACCCACCTGCCTGCCCACCACGTTGTTATGCAGATTCATGGCTTTGAGGGCTTGTGTCCCCAGCTTGCTGGATTTTAAGGGACTGTCAGCAAAAGCGGTGCCGAGCTGGAGGCCGTAGCGCAAGTTGTCCCCGCAGCCACCCCATCTGAAGTCCGGCCCGGGGACCTCAGAGGGGACGGAGCCACAGGAGCAGAGAGGGAGCTCTCCTGAGGTGCAGGCCTGGGCGATGGAGTGCGCGACGGCGGCGGCGGCCAGGGCATAGACGAAGGCAGATTCCCGGGTTCCTGGGAAGAAGAGGGGGAGATGTCCTTCCTCCCTGCCCAGCCAAACACTCCTCTCACACCTCTCACAATGCAAATGAGGGTGGGAGAGGTTTTTTTGTCTTGCAACAGGACAAACCCAAGACCCAGCATTTTCCTTGTGCTGTATTTTTAACCTTTGCCACCCCTTACATTACGCTGTCAGTAAACATCCCGTCTCCCCACCTCTCCCCCTTTTTTTATTTTTTTGAGCCTCTAGCAGCTGGTTTTGCTTGAAATAGAAGTTGCTGCTTGTCAGCTCCTGCAGATCTGAGTTGCATAGGATTAACACCAGCGTAACGGCAGCAAGAATTGACACCCACCAACAGAACAGCAACTCTTTACATTAAAGCAGTGCCCACCTGGGAAGGTGTGTGAGGCAGAAAGAGGATGAAACGCAGTGGATGAAGCATCCTTTACCTTTCAGCAGGTCAGGGCCGAAGCTGGGGGCGCGTTGGATGGAGGAGCAGTTCCACCTCATGTCTGCAAAGGTCTTCTGGCAGACGCTCTTGGTCCGGCCAGCGGCCCGGACGATGCTGGGCATCACCTCCAGGTTCCTGCGGCACATCTGGAACTGGTCGGGTACCAGCCCGGCGAGCAGCCGGCAGTGGTGGCTTTCATTCCAGGCCACCCCCTTGCCGCTCTCCGTCAGCCCCCTGTGGGGAGAGGATGGGTGTCAGCCATATGGGGATGGGGTGGAGGCACCCACAGGTACCCCCTCCGGGCACCCAACCGGAGAGGGGGAGCCCCAAAAGGGATTGCGGGGAAGGTGGTGGTGGGGAAGAAGGGTGGGGGGGGACCACATGTCGCCCGGGATGGCTACTCACAGCCACTGGATGGCCACGGAGAGCCCCAGCTGGCAGAGCAGTGCGGCGGCGATGGGGCGGCCCATGGCCGGGGATGAGGCCGGGGCCGTTGGGCCTCACCGCCCCCTTTTATCACTGCGGGCAGCTCTGTCCTCCCCCCCCGGGGAGGGTCACAAAGGCGGTTTCGGTGGGGTTAGGGCTGGGGGATGGAGAGAGGGAGGGGGGTGGCACAGCCATAATTTGCTGTGCCCATCCCCAAAGCAGCAGCTGGGAAGCGATTTCGAGATGTCCCACCGGAGCGGGTGGGCATGATGGGGAGATGGGGGGCATGGGGTCTGGCATGTTCACCCCACCAGCTGCTCAGCTGCCACGTACCCCTTCGTGTCCCTGCAAGCATGGAGTTGCTGCAGACACCAGAGCTGAGGTGTTTTCCACCTCTGGGACCTTCTGGAGAGCCCAGATCGGGTCACAAAGTGGATGCCAGGCTCTGCTCAGCAGGGGAAACCCCATCCCTGTAACTGGCTGGGAGATGAGTAAAGGACAGAAGGGGTTGATGTTAATTCCTGAGTTTTTTCTTTGTTTTTTTTTTCACAAGAAACTTTAAAAATTACATTTTTGCATAAGTCCAGGTAAATGACATCTTTTGCTCTGCCCTTGTCCACCAAGCGTGTGGCAGTATCGTAAAAGGCCACCAAATTTGGCAGGCACGATTTGCCCTTGGTGAAGCCACGTTGGCTGTCTCCAATCACCTCCTTATCTTCCATGTGCCTTAGCAGAGGTTCCAGGAGGATCTGCTCCAGGATCTTGCCAGGCACAGAGGTGAGACTGACTGGCCTATAGTTCTCTGGGTCTTCTTTTTTTTCGTTTTTTTTTTTTTTAATATTGGGGTTATGTTCCCCTTTTTCCAGTCACCAACTCTTTTTGACCCAGAAAGAGTGAAAGTCTCACCCATCTGCCTCCTTTGTCTCCGGAGTCCCACCAGGACAGCCAGGACTCTGCAATAACCAAGGCTCCAGATGTGTATTTGTCACTCAAGGGTGTGGACACTGGTCTCACCAGCCTGGAGAAGACCCAGCCGGAGGCTGAGTGTGGGGAAATTCTGCCTCTGGACACCGACTTCACAGCCCCAGAAAAACCCCATCGCTGACCTGTCGTCTCAGTCAGGGCATTGGCAGCTGCTGGTGGGCTCCATAACTGCAGAGAAAGAGGGTGAACAGAAGAGGACATGTGGAAGGGCTCTCGGCACACAGTCCTCCAGCCCATTTCAAAGGAATGGGGTTAAAACAACCTCTCCCCACTGCAGGAAAGGGCAGGGCTGCAGCACAGGGGCTCCCTCCGCCGCGCTCCCCTCTCCAGCCCTGCCCACAGCAAACTTGAGAAACAGCCCTAAAACTGAACGCGCCCGTTAGAAAACATGTGGTCAGAGCAGGATCTAACTCAGCATGGGGCTGTCTTTAGCTTGTCAGCGCCGAAAATCCCAGTCTGTAGTTGGCATCAGGCATTCTGTTGCCTTCAGCACCCCAAAGTGCTTGGGGGCAGGAGGGACAGCCAAAGGACTTTGCCTTGACCCTGTTGCTGGGTTTTCCGGGTCAGGACTAATGAGTACAGCTAATTCCGAGCTCCTGAAAACAGCATAACCAGGTTCCACAGCAATTTGCCTCTCCAGGCTGAGAAAATGAGCTGAAAGTCCAGCCCAGAGGAGAGTTTGCCTGGTGCTGGGGGCAAACTGGTGTGTCCATGAGCCAGCACTGGGCAGGGACAGCAGCTGCAGAAATGCCAGGTTCGTTGCAGGAACCAGATTACAGCTGCTGGGAATGGTACAGCCAGGGAAACGGTGCCGGCTTGGACAGGAGCTGCTTTGGTGTGACATTTCCCTGGCTTCCACGTGCTTGTCACAAGGTGTATTTTTTTTTTTTCTGAATCTTTCCCTTCTGTAAGTAGAAAAACCAAAAGTGCAACCTTTGCTGCTGTGCGGACCTGCAGGAACCAGGTAGGCTGATATTTTCCCACAGTGGGAGGTGACATTTGAGAGACAAGTCCAGCCGACACCAGCTTCTTTTGGAAAGCAGTTGAAGACCTCTCCTTTGGGCTTTCGCTTTCTCCCTCTCTGTGCAACTTCCCTTCTCACTGGAAGGTGGTTTCCCTTTCCAGGAGATAACTGGGTGGCTGGTTAGCAGCCCCCCATGACCTCCCTTTGACTTGTTATCATGTGCACTAAAACTAGGACACGCAGCTTGAATTGTTGACCTTCCCAATCTGCTCCCTTGGGATGAAAAGGCCAAGGTACATTGTGCCGGAGCAATGGCCCATGAGGAAGGGTCCTGTTAGGAAAGCACCGAGGTCACTCCCAAATCCCAAGCAGAATTACAAGGGCCTTAATTAAAGGACAGAGAGAAAAGAGACGCTGTATTCAGTGTCCCTGGAGTCGGCTGGCTCTGATCCCATTAACCTTCCTCTCCCTCATGCCTGTGAACTGACACCAAAAGCCTCCAAAGTTACAGCAAGCTCTTGTCAGCTGAAGGATGATTTTTTTTTTTTTTTTTTTTCAGCAGGATTAGCAAAGATACAGGATAAAAGCAAATGGGCTGAGCTGCTCGTTGGGGCGCACAGCTTGGATGTCTCTGCGGAGGGCATGTGAAGGCCAGCAAGCACCATCCTTGGATTTCTGTTTCGGAGCGGTCCGAGCAGGAAGCCTGCCCTGCTTCTGGACATAGAATCATAGAATGGTCTAGGTTGGAAGACACCCTTGGGATCATCGAGTCCAACCATCTACCCTACTCTACAAAGTCCTCCCCTACACCTGTCCCTCAGCACTGCATCTAAACGGCCCTTAAACACAGCCAGGGATGGGGACTCCACCCCCTCCCTGGGCAGCCTGTTCCAATGACCTGTTGCCACCGGGTGAACATTGACACTGTCGGGCTGGGACTCCCTGGTTTAGGGCAGGAGGAACCTTTCCTCACTGCAACCAATACTTAGGACGTTGTCCCTGAGTATTTCAGGATGAGAAATCCTTTCCCGGCTGCAGGAAGCAGAATCCCTGTTGGAGAGGACAAGGGATAACCCAAGTCTATATTCCCTAAACGCTAAACCCTGTGTTTTGGTTTCTGCCTCTAAAATGAGGATTAAGCTGGTTAAAACAACAACAATCTACCTATTTTTGTGGGATAAGATTGAGACAAGAAGGTAGCAATGAGCACGCCCTCTCCTGTACCACCTTCCCAACTCCTTCAGACCAAGCATCAGGTACAACAGAGTCCTCCAGTACCTGTGGGACATCAGGGCAGGTCCCACTCCTCTGCTGCTCCCTCCAGCCCTGATTATTGCCCCACGGAGGAAGATCTAAGGGCAAGCCAGACACTAACTAGCTCAGTTTGGGATCCCCAGCAGTAGGATGGGTAACTCACAGCCTCCAGGGAGGTCAAGCAGAGGCATCTGGGCAGACTCCATCCATCCACAGGGGCAATGTGATCTCCTCAGCAATGAACCCACCTCCACGAGAAGGCTATTCTCTGGGAGCAGACTAAAACCTGCCAGATGATAAAGGACCATTGGGACACGCCGTGCTGTTTCAGCCTGGGCAGTCCCTAGCACATCTTTTACTCTCTAGGCTTCCTTATGGTCCTAGACACAATTCAGGCACCCTGATCACAATGCAGTTCACTTTTTTTTCTCAGTTTTCTCCAAGCCCTCAGATTTTCAACCCCACTCAGCTGCTCCCTCATCAGCCCAAAGTCTCCTCCAGCATCCCTGTGATTAAGGAAGCTGCTTATTTCACTCCAGCATTACCTGGGTCCTGGTGTCCCATGTAAGATCAAACTCCCTCTGGGCCATTCGTTCCAATCCCAGGTGGCATGTGGCAGGGACGAACCTGATCCCTGAACCTGGTCCACTTCTACTGAGGGCTCTGCAATGACAGCTAGTCCCTGGTGTGATGGATTTGCTTATTCACATCACAGAACCCTGAGGGCTGAGGTAGAAAAGCCCCATGAAGCAGCACCCACTGTTGGGGCCAGAGGTTGGTGCTGTGTGGGACAAGGTGACAGCACCCTGGGACTCAGCCCTATGACCAACAGCTTCATGCTGCGAAGGGGGTACCTTACCAGGCCTGGGGTAAAGCTGGAGTCCTTTGTCATGAAGTTATTTGTCATGTTTGGTGAGACTGAAGTCAGACTGGTCTCACCACAGCGTCACAGTTCAGCTTTCACCTTTCTTGACTCAGCTCAGTCCTGCTGGCGCTCGCTGCGCTCTGGAAGTCCCTGATATTTCTTTGAAGTCCCACCTTCCCAATCATGGCTTCTGCAGGTCCTGTTCTTACTTGGACCCGCAAACAGATACGGAGCTCACACTTCTCCCTTGTGCTAGCCCAAGGGCTCCTTTCACTCTAACCCTGAGGATTTTGATCTTATGAAATCATATTCTCTGTAAGTTCCCTTTTCAGCCTCGGGGAATGGGGAAATGCCTTGGGCCCTGAAGGGGGACATTGCGGAGAAATCCGAACAGCTTCTGGAGGGATTAGGAATTTTCCGACCAGGAAAAGCTACTTTTGTCAGTGTTGGGAGGTGTCTGGGTGCTTTTCTGCACATCATGTGCTCAGTGGGCAGAGGGAGGGCAGTGGTTCACCAAGCACGTGCAAGGCAGAAATTGCTGAGCAAAGGCAACCCTGTGTTGCAAGGCACATCTAACCAGACACCTCCTCCTTCAGACTCCAGCCAGAGGGACGGAGGGGTTCCCAATGGCTTCCAGTCCCTCCCAGTCACACTGTCCTGGATTCCTTGGCAGTGGGTGTCCTGCATCCAGCCTGCCTGGAAGAGCTGGGTGTCACTCCAAAGTGTCCCAGTGCCACATCTCTGCTGAGGGATGAGGAGGTTTCAGTGGGAACACAGGCTCTGCTGGAGATGCTAATCCCTCTGGCCTGATTTCTAACGTTATCTCATCAGCTGCCTAGAACAGCTCAAGAAAAAGTGAGCATCAGCACAACAAGACCCTGCAGAGGACTTTGGACGAGGGGGTCGGGAAGGTCAGCAGTCCCCTAATCTGTCCTGAGCGAGACACAAAGGTGGGCAAAGTGCATCTCTGTCTCTGCACAGGTGGAGAGGAAGGTCGGGGTTGCCATCTGGGTGAAGCTGCTTTCCAGCTGGGTGGCCTTAGCACATACTGGTGCCTGGGAACGTTCTCCCCAAAGCAGGACTTTGCCCTCCCCCCTGTCAAACCCTCTCCTCCCCACTGTCTGTAAGCGCTGGGGCATTGACACCACCAGCACCCACTTTGGTCAGTGCAGGCTTCATAGATATCAGGGACACCTCACCACCTGGGTGGGCCATGGACCATTGTCCTGCTGGGGGAAACCTTGGCTCATCCGTGGAAGCCTTAGCATCGGCCTTGTGCAGACATCTGTGTATCCTTGAAGAGGCCTGAGAGTCCGGAGAAGAAGGGAGTAAATAAGATTAAGGACCTGTCAGATTGCCACCAGAGGAAAGTTACTGAAGTTACCGCAGAGAACAAAGAAGGAGGAAGTCATCCAATCATGAACTGTTGGACTTTAAGTGAACCAATTATACATGGACACACGTTTGTAAGAAAGATATACAAGAGTTTGTTAAAACAATAACGTGGGCTTCAGCATGATCAAATTGGTCTGTGTCTGAGTCTCGCCGCATCCTGCCGCTGCCCGAGCTGTTCGATCCAAAGGTTTAGTGGGGTTAGAGTTTCCAAACCAAAATGGACCCATCCCCTGCACAAGGGGCTGACCCCTTCTGTGCTCTTCGTGGTGTCAGGCCCAGAAAGGAGAGGGGATATTGCCACCTTCTGGCCAGCGGTTTTGCTTCTAAGGGCCACCATCTCTCCTTCAGGTCCTTGGAGAACCTGCTTTGACCATGCTCCTGCTTGCTGTGTGGGTGCTGGCCACTCTCACATTGCAACAAGTCACTTTTTCCCCCCTATTAACCATATTGCTTTCAGGCAAACTCCTCAAGGCGTGGATGACATCTTAGTCTGGGAGTTGGAGGATCTCAGATGGGTTGCTGTAACCTGTACATGCTGGGCTCAGATGGCAGCTGGGAAGGTGAGAGCACCTGGGATCTCAGGGGATTTAGGAAAAGCCACGAGCAACAGTCAGGAAAAGATGCTGGAGAGCAGGAATGCAGAGAGGACACATGAGAGGATGGTCTGGCAGGTGGAGGCATCTCCTCGCTTCACAGGTGCTGAGAGCCATGACCAGTGCTGGGACAGAGGGGCTTAGTACCACCCCAGCCCCTTCTTTTGGGCTGTGAGCCAGTGTCACCACAGGAACAGTGTCCAGTGATTTCTGACGTCAATCCCCTGCTCGAGCCCGCTGTCTTCTACGGAAGGTGATTTTTACCAGTCCCTCTTCACAGAAAAGTTTTGCAATGACTGAGTAGTAGGAAAGAAGAAAAAATAAATACTTCCTTTTAAAGCAAAAGCAATCCTTTGTTTGCTGTCAATTCCTCTTCTTAGCTCAATCCTTGAAACAACCATAGGGTAAGTGCTAAAAATACCCCATCCGTGTCAGGCTCTCTTTTGGGGAAGGAGGAAGGTGGGAGGGGATTCCCAGCCCAGGAGAAAGGCTTCCCTTCCCCAGCCTGGCCGGAGAGCCACTGTGGGGAGAAAGTGCAGCCCCACTGCTGGGGATCCATCTGTGGGCACTGAACAGAGGGAAAGGCCGGAGAGGAGCAGGGAGGAACATTGGAAAAATGTCACCCCCCCAGCTGCCTGTCTGGTTTTGGCTGCCCTGGGGACACTGAGGGAGGGGAAAGCTCAAGGAAGAGCTCACAGGAGGCAAGGAGAAGACCTGCTGCTGGGTCAGGGCTTACCTGCACGCTGAGTTTGCTCCTGGGATTAAGCTACTTACTGGAGGAACATCAGATAGTTGTCCTGGGTGGCCAAGGATTTGTGTGTCCCACTACCAGGACTCGGGCAGGGCAAAAGCAAATACCCATGAATGGTTTGTGACCTGTGTAAGAACCCCTCCCCATGTTCCATCCCAGCTTGCAAGGACTTGTGGCTTCCAGGATCAGGAGAGGCCGTGTCCTACAAGGACCTTCCAGGAGTCCCCCTGCTGTCAGTGTACTCCGTGTTCCCTCAAGCCCCTGGTGACCTTGGTGCTCCCCAACCCCACACTCACCTACTGACCGACCACGTGAGGAGCCACATCCTTTTGCCTGGGAGGCTGTGACAGCGCTGGGTGGTGGTGACGCAGGAGGTGGTAGCATGCTGTCATGTGGCACCGACGTCTTGGTGAGGGGGCAGCTCGTTGTGGTCCAGCCAGCTCCCACCACATCCCAGAGGTTGTGGACAGGATCCCTGCCGCGGGCGGTCACCTAGGATCATCCTGTCACCTCTGGAGGTTGGGGATGCTGGTGATGGCCACCCTGGGTGCCAGGTGACTGTCCTGTGGTGGAGGGCTGCTTTCCTTTAGCGAAACTGTCCTCCTTCCTCTTTCTGACGTAGTGGTGGAGTCAGTGACCTCACCACAGGACGGATACTGAGAAGCAGGCTGGGGGCGATGGGGACTTGTTCCTGCCAGGACTTGTTCCTGCCAGCTGATCTCCTCCAGAGCCACTTACGCACGGTGCTGCCTTCCAGCTTCACCTGGTACCACGGCTTCTCCTCCGTCACCACGAGGTTGCTCCCATGCACCTGCCCAGAGAAGTCCCAAAGCTGGGACCAGGGATGGTAGGTCTCCATGTGCATCTTTGTGGGTTCAAGCTGTAAGGAGACAGAACAACTGGTGACACTCCATGAGCTGCTGTGACCAGGGCTGCCTGCAGCAGTGGCAGTGTCCCAGGCTCTGCAGCACGCCCTGTCCCCAGGGCCCTGTGACATCTGGGCTGGGGGATCCAGCTGCAGAACATGTGTCAGCATCCCCAATCCTTCCACAACAGCCCAGGCAAGTGATGCTGCATAAAGCGGTACAGGAGAGGTGCTGGGATTGCCACGTTCCTCTGGCTGAAGGTCTACATGCTGGAGGGCCAGTGGCAGGTCCCAGCCTGGCCGGAGCCCCCAAGAGAGGAAGAAAATGCCATGAATAACACACCCGACCTCATTAACTTGGCTAGAAATAGCTGCAGGGGGGGAGTTTTGTTGAGTCACGCAGAAGAGGTTGTGGCAGTGAGTGATAATGGAAAGCAGTGGTGGCCCAGCTCTGCCAATGGGAGGGACAGGCAGGCTGATGTCCGGAGGTGACACATGGGGAGATGAGCCACTGCCACAGCCTCCTGCCCCATCCCAAAGCCATGGAGCAAATGCCACATGAGCCTGGAGAACTTAAAAGCCACCCGGCCCCGGGGAGCCAAGCAATGGTCAGAGGACGGTGGTTTATGAAATCAAGCTCATTTTGCATACATATTGCAGCAATATCATATAAATATGCAAATCTGCATATTTATCAGCATAAATTAGCAAAAAAATAAATGAAATTATATCCTCAGCAGCTGTTTCTGAAGCACTGAAGTGGGCTCACCTGAGCTCTTCTGGCAGGTGAAACCCAGGGCAGGAGGTGCTTGGCAGGGGCAGGAAAACAGTGTTCTCTGCAACGATGGTTTCTCACCTTGTGACAGCCTGGAACATGTTGTCCTGCATTGTCTTGTAATGGAATTGGGGAGATTTAGGATCATCTACGCTCTGTCTAAACATGGGATGAGGAGAGCTCTCCCCACTCTGCCAGGCAGGGGTGGCTCAAGGAGCAGTATCTGCCAGCCAGCCACCAGGAAACTCTTCAGCTCTTGAAGCAGATGAAGTTCTGGCTCTCATCTCCATGGAGAGAAAGGGAAAAAGGAAAGAAGAAAAAAAAATAATTCCTCTAAATTCAAGTTAGTTGCAGACAAGGTAATTTCCACATGAGTTAGCAGAACAGCTAGTTGGAAATTTTTGATAAAAATCTTTTTTTTTTTTCCTGTGAAAAATGCAGATCCAGTGAAATGTGAAGGCTTTCCGCTGGAAAGAATGAGTTTTCCTGGATTTCTCAACTAGTTCTCTAGAAAATTTGCAAACGGTCACAATATTTCAACCACCACTGCTCTTTTTCAGACCAAAATTTATACTCCTGGTGTCTTACAGCTTGACATGAAAATGCAACATTTTTGGCACCCTCCCTTTATTTGTTTTGACTTCAGTATTCTACAGATCTTCCACGCTCCTTTTGGATCAAGAAAAAGCTTGAGAGGCCAAGAAATCCCTGGGATAAGGAAAGCATTTCCCCATAAACTGGGGGAAGCTCAGGGGCAGCGTCTGGCCAGCTCGGTGTCACCTCGTTGTCCCCTGGGCCAGGACGAGCCCCGTGCTCCTCTCCTGGCCAAGCTCAACGCACGTTGCTTCTCTTGTCGCCAGGAGAAGGGGGCATTGCCCTCGGCGCTGACGTGGGTTTAGTTCTTCTTGTAGAACCTGTGAGAACACAACCTGGAATCCTGTTTTGCTTTGAATCAGGAAAGCACGCACACAGAATAGAAATATTACGTTGATAATGTAATGACCCGATAATAAAATAAAACTAATATCGATAAAATAATAACCTGACGTGCCATTTCCCAGTTTTCCCAGCTCAGTTTCTCTGCCTTCCCAACACTTCTTCGGCCTCGGGTGTTCTCCAGCCTTTCTTGTCTTTATCATCACCACCTCCCCTGCGCTCTGGTGGCCTCCTCGTCCCTTGGCAAGGCCAGCATCTCCCTTCCACCCCTCTTCCCACAAACTTTAGTTGCTTTTGGGACCCTTCCCTGCCAGGTGAAACCAGCACCGGGGGTCCCTTCTCCTATTTTCATGCTTTAGAAGATGCTCCAACCCCAGGAGAAAACTTGGGCCATCAGCAGCCTGCTGTCCCCAGCCACCACCGTCCCCGCATGGGTCAGCCACCAGCTGCTGGTGACAGGAACATGACAGCCTGCGTCAACAACGCTGGATAAACATGGCTTGGGAGGACTTGGGAAGCCCAGGGCAGCGCCTGGCACTGACCGAGCACCCGGTGGTACGTCATGTCCCCACCGGTCACCCAGCTCTGCCTGGCTCCAGCCCTCCACAATGCCTCAGAGGGAGGAGGAGGACGCTGGTGGGAGGTGGTGAAGAAGCAGCACAAAGGGCAAGAGATCTTCTGGCGACCCGCATGGAAAGTACAGCCTGGGAGGGGGTTTAAATGAGGAAGAGAGGCCACACAAAATGTACCAGAAACACCCACCGAAGGCAACAGCAGCATTTTGGGTGCTGGCCAAGCAGCCCCGAAGAGTGTCCCTGTAATGTCACCAAGTGCCCAGGATGGGGAAGGAGGCTAGGATGGATTTAGGGATGGGCCAAAGCCAGGCTGAGCTCACCCACCTGCCATCACAGCGCTTCGGGGACATGCAGGAAAGAACGTTCCTGCCCCAGGGAGCTCGGGTGCCACCAAGGACAGGGGACCCTGCTGAGAACTGACCAAGAGGGACACTGTGCCTCATGCCCAGAGACCAGCTGGCTGTGTCTCCCTGGTGACATTAGCTGTCACGGATGGAGCTGGAGAGCGCTGGGCTGGGAGAGGATGAGGGCTTGTGGTGGCAGTGGGAGGGTGGTGGCACCTACTGGGTCTTGGACAAAGGAGAGAGACATGGGAACAGGAGTGAAAAGAGGAAGGGCACAGGAGATCCAGCAAAGAGCTGCTCTCGAGTGGGAGGTTGGGCTTCCACCAGTGGCATGGGCTGCCTGCCTGTCCCAAAGGTCCCTGCAGGGTGGTGACATGCAGCACTAGGCTCCCCTGTGGTGTCCTGGGCACTGCACCATCACTCACCATGAGGAGGTGCGGAGTGCCAGATCAAAGGGAAACTGAGGCAAGGATGGAAACACGGGGCCATCAAAGATGCTGGAGGTCCCTCAGGAGCTGGATACCCATCAAAGGCCAGGAAGCTGCAGCCCCAGTGGGGAAGGCGTACATTTTACAAAAAGGCCCTTTGCTTCACAATAAAACCACGATAAGCTTGAAAGGAAAAAAAAAAAAAAAAAAGCAAAAAGCCAAAGTTAAGTAATTGGGATTTTAAGTGACTTCCAAGCCCTTCTGCTCTCACAGCCTCTGACCCAACAGGTGTGTGGACAAGTAGATGGCCCAGGCCAGCTGGGGACTTTCAAGGTGGAACCAAAGAGATGTGAAATGTTAAAAAGTTCCTTTACAGCCTTATTTTTATCCTTCCCCAGAGCTGGCTCCAGCCTTTCAGGTGCTTGCCGGGCTGCTGTCCCAGGGGGTGCAGCACCACTCTGCCCTGGGAAGCTGGACATGTCCCACCCAGTACAGCTGGCCAGCTGTTGTGTGCAGACCAGGAGCATCACACCACGACAAAAGCCATCCCACACTGCTGATGCAGCCCACCACCTCACTTAGCACCTTCTCCTCCTGCCCTCCCTAGCTGGAGGTCCGGCCCCCCCATATTAAACTGCACATGGACTAGGTGCTCCAACAGTGCCAAGCGTACCAAGGACCACATCTCTGCCAGCACTTACCCCCTGTGATGGAGACAGAGCTGCTGCCACCAACTCAGGAGTCCAGGCGTTGAGGGTGAGAACATCCAGCACCCACCTCAAAGAGCCCGTGACCCAGCGTCAGCCAGGGACAGCACAAGACTGGTTTTCTCTCATTCTTGCTGTCTCAGTGGGTGAGGAGAAGGCAGATTTCCTTCCTGCACCCACGAAGGTCATTTTTCAGCTCTATCAACTTCACAGCATCGTTTGAGGTGACAGATTGGCAGGAAAAGGCAGAAGAGAGGTGCGTAGGATCCTGCAGAAACCTCCACTGCCCAAGCCACCAACAGGCACCATTCCCTGCCACTGCCCGCTCCTCGCTGGGCTGGGGAATGCCTTTAGGAGCAGGAGCAGGTATTTAACTGAGCTATTAAACCCACTTAAAAGGCAAAGAGTGACTGCTGGGAAAGCTGTGAAAACACTCAGGTGGCACCAATGGAGACAACTCCCTTTCCCCAAGTAGAGTGTGATGGGTTCAGGGGGAGCAGATTAATCCAGCTCAGCCCAGGCCTTGGTTTCTTGGCCTGGGTGATGGGAATGTTTGATGTCAGGGCAGAAAAACTCACCCCTAACTGCTTATAGAGCATTTAATTTCTTCCAGGGAACGAAGCAGATGGGGCCACCTTCCTTCTCGAGAAGGAGAGGTGGCCCAGAGACCCCCAGCCCAGAGCTCAGCACCAACCACACTCCCTTTATTGGGTTTGCAAAACACACAGGATCCTGGTGAGGGGAAGGGGTTTAAAATACAATAAAATTATTAATATTAATAATAATAATTAGAGTTCTGACTGATTGCTACAGTTTCTGCTCCCCATGGCTAGACTACACTTTGGTGACATTATCTGCTGGCTTTGCCTCAGCTGGTTGCTCTCTTTTGGGGTGGTGGGGGAAGACCCTGTTGCTGTGGAGACCCACATGCTCCGGTGACTTCTGCCCTTTCTTCAGAAGGCAGCAAGCCACGGAGCTGAGAAAGAAAAGGCTCAGCATGACCACGAGCAGAGCCAGAGAGCTGGTGCCTTTGGGACGTGGACAAAGCCACCGAGGACTGTTGGTTATCTTGGCTGAGAAGTTCCTGCTGTTGTCCTGGTAGGAGCAGAAGGCTTCATCCAGGTCCTGCACACCCACGCTGGTCGCCTGCAGCAGGTCCAGCCAGGCCAGTGAGCAACAGCTGAAGGGGTTTCCAGCGATGGACACAGCCTTAAGGCTATGGGACCAGCTGGCCACCGCTGGCATTTCCAACGTTGGCAGGTTGTTATTGCGAACGTCCAAGCTTTCCAGCGGGGAGCAGAAAAGACCTGTGGGCAAAAGGCTCAAATTATTGCCTGAGATGTCCAAGACTTTGAGCGTGTCCAGGCAGGGGAGCTGTGCCTGGCTGTTGTCCATTTGGTTGCCCCTCAGAGAGAGTTTCTGCAGGGAGAACTCCAACCCCCTCAGGGCTTCCTTAGGCATGAACAAGTCCTTGTTCCCCGACAGGTCTAGGGAGAGCAGCAAGGTCTGGTTGAAGGTGTCGGGGTGCAGCCTGGTGATGTTGTTCCTGCAAAGGCTCAGATGCTTCAAGTGAGGCACGTTGTAGAAGGGGGTGCAGGTGCCTCCTGGGGCTGGCACACGAGATCCACCTCCCTGCTTGCTCCCTTGGTTCTCACAAGGCTGGAGGCTGTTGGAGCACAGATCGACTGTTTCCAGCTGAGGCAGAGAATGGAAAAACCAGGGTGGTAGCACATGGATGGCATTGCTGTGGAGGTCCAGATAACGCACAGAGAGGGCGACCTGCTCTGGCGGTGGGGATGAGTGGTTGCTGGACTCCGTGCCGCCGGCGAGCAACTCTCCAACTACATCCTGGAGACAGTTCCTAGCCAAGCTGAGGTTCTGCAGAGAGCCCAGACTGTGGAAGAAGGGAAATGGGAACAGCTGGAGCCGGTTATTGCTGAGATCCAAGTCAGTTACATGTGTCAGCCCGGCTACGGGATGTAAAGTCCTATTAAACTTCGCCATCTCCTCATAGCGCAGCATAAACTCCCCCGAATGGTGTGAGCCTGGGAGCAGGGAAGCAATAAGGTTGTTGGAGAGGTTTAAGTGTGTGAGATAATGGGCTTTGGGGAGCTCTGGAAAAGAGAGGAGTCTGTTATGGCTCAAGTCGAGCACTTGAAGCAGGTAGGGCTCTGCTCCCTCCTCCGAGACGAAGAGCTCCAGGCCGTTGTGGCTGAGATTTAAAACTCGCAGCTGCGTGAGGCTGAAGCCAGAGATACAGTGGAGGGAATTCAAAGCCAAGTTCACCACCTCCAGCTCTTCCAGAGCCTCAAAAGCTCCCTCCTCGATTTCCATGATGTAGTTGTTGCTGAGGTCGAGCTCGCGCAGCTGTGGCGTGCTCCAGAAGATCCCTGCCGGCAGCCTGGTCAGCTTATTGCTGGAGAGATCGAGCATCCTCAGCTTGGTGAGGTTGCTGACGTACCAGCCTGCCATGTGGCTCTCCAGGTTATTTGCCGACAGGTCCAGGACCTCTATATTCCTGAGCAGATGAAAGGCTTGTCCATTAGTGAGGTAATTGAGGTCCAGGTGGTTTGATCCAAGGAGGAGAGAGCGCAGCTGGGGCAGCTGAGCCAGGGTTGTGGCTGAAACAGTTTCCAGCTGGTTGAAGCACATGTCCAGGTACTCAAGCTGCCCAAACCCTGGCATGAGACTGCCTGACAGGTTTTGGATGAAGTTGTTGGAAAGATCAAGGTACTTAACTCCTTGGCCAAGCTCCTTTGGAAACTTGCGCAGACCAACTCCTTTGCAAGACACCTTTGTGGGGCTCTACAGAGAGAGAGGAGAAGCCAACAACATGAGAGGAGCTACAAACCACAGCTCCAGCCAAGCTCCAAGCCATCTGCTGTCCAAGATGGGCATGAGCAACATGGAAATGACCACTGCTCCCCCTTCCCAAGCCTGGGATGGGAAGGGGCCAGACCACCTAAACCCACTGCTCAGAGACAAGAAGCTTGTCCCCAGGGTTAAGGTGGCTTTTCCGAGACCTTGCTGAGTTGTTTCTGATGGTACAAGGAGAAGGCTCAAGCTCTGGCTCCACAGGCTGTCTTCCCATGCTTCCCACCAAGCAAGATGGGCAAAAAAGTAGCATAAGTACTGAAGATGCAGGACGGTGGTGGGGCAAACCCTCTGGAGGGCACTGGGACAGCCCAGGGACTGGTCCAGAGCATCCCTGTCTTGTTTGGGTAGAGGAAGGGCACTGTCTTGGTGGGCTCCACCTTTTGTCTCCCTCCAAACTGGTTTCCTCTGCCAGTTTGGAGTCAGGAGCCTAGATGTGGAGCAGCTGGTTTCTGTCCCCCCACCCCGTGAATGTGGGGGGAGAGAAACCAGATGCTCCATGTCCAGGTTCCCGACTGCCTTGCTAAGATCCGTGGCAGCTGCCTGAATCCCCATGGGACCCTGTGCTCCATCCTGCCTCTGTGGGAGCATCTTGAGTTGACACTCCCGTGGCAGGGATGAATGGAAGGTGCCACCAGCACAACAGGGACATGGGAGAAGAAAGGTGCCACCAGCACAGCAGGGACATGGGAGAAGCTGGGTGCCAGGGACCAGCTAGTGGGACACAGAAGGCAGAGAGAAGATTGAGGCTGGAAAGGTTGAAGAGATTGAGGCTGGAGGGAGGTGAGAGCCATGGGCAGGAGATGCACAGAGGGATGCTGGGACCCAGCGACGCTGCTGGGACCATCCCAGCCCAGGTGCTCCTTGGAAAGTCACCTTACCTGCTGGCACAGCGTGGACCTGGGCTTCACCTCCCCGTTAGACTGGGCTCTGAGCACAGATGGGAGCAGCCAGAGCAACAAGCATCCTCTTTCAGCCAGTCGGTGTTCAAACAAGAGCATGTTGGGCTGTGGGTGCTGCCGGCCCCGTCCCGCTCCTCCTGTGCTCTCGAGCAAGCTGGGCAGGGGCCGGGCTCTGTATAAATAGGCTTCAGGATGGGATGGGGGAAGGAGATAATTCATGTGGGTGTTTGTAGCTACGGAAGTGGGAAAAGAAAGGCATAAAGATTGCAGAGGGGGAAAAACAGTGTAGAAAGCCACAAGGAAGGGAAAGAGAAACGGCGGGACGGGGAGGAGGCAGAGTCGCTCAGGTGATGGGCTGGTCCCACCGCCCGCATCGAATGCCAGGAGGCAGAGGTCGAGGAAGCCAAGAGGTTTTTTTAGGGGGAGTTCCCCTGCTTGGACCTGCTCTTCCTCCAGCTTCCTCTGCCCTGTGTGCCAGGGCCGGGCTGTGAGCTCCCACTGGGCTGTTGGTGCCCCAGGACACCAGGGCTCCCCAGCCATCCCGAGCAGGGGACCCAGCTCCACCGGGGATCACCGTGGGACTCCCAGGGCTGTAGGTGAGCTCGCCGCAGGAAGGCAGAGCAAATTCCCCTCCCTGTGCTGCCGCAGCCCAGCCAAGGGGACTCTCCCATCACCTGCCCTTCCTCGGGGAAACAACAGCCCCCCCCGGGTCTGCCGCCCATTCCCAGTGGGATGTGAAAAGCTGGCATCCTCCTCCTCCTCTTCCTCCCCAGGAATCTGCTGTGTTGCAAGTGCTGGGCTCCTTGCTGCCACCTCCCCGTGTCCTTGCCAGGCTTGGAGGACGTTTGTTGGGTCACCTCCTCACCCAGGGCAGGATCCAGACGGGGACTTTCCCTGCGGCAGCTCCAGGTGCTATTGGGGTGCCCAGAGCTGCACCCCACCCACAGGGATTTTTTGGTGGTGACATCTCCATGTCCCTGTGCCACCCAGTGGTGACACGCTCCCCGGGGACATGCTCCTCGCACGCTTCATGGGGCGTTGGACAAAATGCACGCTTTTGGGTATTTTGGTTCACTGTGGCCAATTTTGTTCCCACCCGAAGGAGCACCTCTGGATTGCTGCATGGCTGCCCAAGGATGCATTTGGCTGTGGTTTCAGCTGTAGAGCTGTTGCTCTGGTCCTAGAGGTGCCTGGCAGGGAAAAAAATTTATATATATATATATATAAAATACATAAATACATATATACAGACACATATACACATCTGGAAGATGAAGCAACCTGTGCCAGTAGGAGGTGTCCCTGCCCATGGCTGGGGGTTGGATCTTGATGATCTTTAATGTCCCTTCCAACCCAAACCGTTCTATGAGTCTGTGATCCTGCTGCTGTCACCCCTCACCCTCCTGGGAGCTGGTGTGGTGGGGACCACTGTGTCACCTCCGGGATGGGCTTCAGCCTTGAGCCAGACCAGCATCACCAGTCATCCAGGGCACACACGGCGGTGGTGACAGCCAGCCAGGCTCAGCCCAGCAGCCAGGACAAGTCTTTTAGGCTGATGCCCTCACCCGTGGTGGACCTGGGCGCCGGTGGCAGCAGCCAGGGGCCAGTAGCAGCTGTGAAGGAACAGCCCGCCATCGTTTTCAGCGGTGTGGTGAGGATAGCACATCTGTGCAATCCTGCAGGCTCCGGCCACGGAAACACCGACCTCTGGATGAACCTTCGCCTCCAGCATCCCCTCATCTCTCCCATCAGCAGCCCAGCCTGGAGCACCGAAAAACGGAAGGCGGCGCAGGGGAGGAAGCGCGCCGTGCGAGTGCTCCAGCCCCCCGGCACCCCCCGGCCCGGGGAACCCCGGCCCTCTCCTCCCTGCATCCCAAATTGCTGGGCACGGGTCTGCACGGCAGACATGGCTGATGAAATCAGCTGAAAAAGTCCCCAGTTTTGAGCAGGGACTTCTGCGGAGAATCCCTGGGCATTTGCATCCCAAGGCTGTGAACTTTGGGGGAGCCCGGCAGGAGCAAAGGACTGTGCCGAAGGCAAAGCCAACCCCCCAACAGGAACGGGAAGAGGTTTGCTCCTGCAAATCTCAGGGCATCCCCTGCTTCTTGCCTCTCCCAGGTCTCCAAGAGGGGTCTGTTAAAGAAAGATGCCCCTGTTCCCCCCGAGAGGTCTCCAAAGGATGGGAGGAACAAGCAACAGGACAGAGACCTCGGTAGAAGAGGGGATGAAGTCACTTGGCCAGTGTCACAGCAGGGTGACAGCCACTCACTCCCAGCCTGGGCATTAAGGAGGCAGAACAGTACATGGTTATCTAAGTATCACAGAGTGATATGGGGTTGGAAGGGACCTCTGGAGATCATCTAGTCCAACCCCCTGCCAAAGCAGGTCCACCCAGAGCAGGTTGCACAGGAAGGTGTCCAGGTGGGGTTTGAATGTCTCCAGAGAAGGAGACTCCACCACCTCCCTGGGCAGCCTCTTCCAGGGCTCTGCCACCCTCAAAGCGAAGAAGTTCCTCCTCATGTTTAGATGGAACTTCTTACCTTCAAGTTTGTGCCTGTTACGTCTTGTCCTGTCCCTGGGCACCACTGAAAAAAGACTGGCCCCATCCTCCTGACACCCACCCTTTAAGTATTTACAGGTGTTGATCAGATCCCCCCTCAGCTTTCTCTTCTTTAGACTAGTACATCAAATCTGTGTTTCCTTCTCAATAAATAAGCTATTTTCTGTGTTCGCTCCTGACCGCAGAGAGCAGCAGGGAGGTGGAACACAAAAGCTGAGCAGCTCTGAGCCCAACAAGGAGGGGACTGGTGCCTCAGCAGCGGTGGCCACAGCAGCTGTGTATCAAATACTCCCCCAAGGATGGAGAGATGCTCTGCCTTTCAGCTGGGTCCCATCACACAAGCACAGTCAACACACTTTCCACAGAAACTCCCAGTCTGGCTGGGGAAGGATGTCCCACCCGGAACACCGAGATCAGGAAAAAAAAAAAAAAGAAAAGCTTTATTTGCAAAGAAAAATATTGACAATTTACATAAACTTACATCCTAATTTATATACATTATGTATATTTTATATACAGATAGTGTCTTGAGTAAAGATGTCGAAGCACAAACCAGCATCAGTATATCACCGTGCAGCTCTAACGGGTAACGGGGGGGAGTTGTGTCTCTTCCCACAACTCCTCTCCCATGATGCTTTTGTTGGGGAGTCTGAGAGGGTTTCTCCCAGCCTGGGAGAGAGGAACATGGGGGGAATGTGTGTGTGTGTGGGGTGTCCAGGCTTTTATGGGTGCAGCCACGAAGTTCAGCTGCAGTTGTCCCTTCCCCTTTCCCTCCAGAGCCTGTGCCAGGATGGGAGCTGGTGGGAAGGACTCCCCACACTCCAGCTCTTACTGGGAAGAGGGGAAGAAACATGGATGAGACAATGCACTTGGCTCATCTCCCTCCTGACGCAGCTCAGGTGCCCTTTTCTAAGCACCTGATGTTGCTCTGACGATGCCAAGTCCACTGATGGGGACAGGGGGTGGCAGGGAGACCCCAACCGCTTACCTGGGTGAGAAAGGCGCTTGGAGGGAAGCAAAGGGCAGGTAGTTTTGGGTAGGGAACCATGACCCAAAGCCTTTACTGATGGGAATCCTTCCCTCAAAGGGAAGAAAGGGTCAAGAGGGACCCTAAACACAACAGCCGAGCTGGCTTCCCTATAAATTGTCTCCGTAAAGAGGTGCCTGGGAGGGAGAAGGGGTTTGGGGGATGTATTATTATTTACCAATTAGCTGCTTGCTACATTTCTGCAGCTGGAGTCCAGCCAAAATTCGAGCAGCAAAGCCAAGGCACGTAGGTAAGAGCAGGAGGCAGCAAGGACCACGGGAGAGGAAGGCTGGCACAGGGGAAGCCAGCGGTGACTGGTTTTGTGTCCACCACCCTGGACTTGCAGACGTTTTTCTATAACTGAAGCACTTCCTTCTCAACCAGACTAGGAACTGAGATACATCAAAATTCAAAGGCATCAGAGGGAAAGACTGGAGCAAGGCCTTGTTCCTGCTGGAGTTTGTTAAAACCTCCCATAGGTGTCCTTCTCACGCTCCTCTGAGCTGCTTCCCGGCCTATTTGGCTCCAGTTAAAGGGAAAAGGCTCCAAAGATGGTGGGACACCATTTGGAGAAGCATCATGCAGAAGAAGCTATACTACAGCCTAGAGAACCTGCACTGTAATACTTCATTAATGAGAACTTGTTGCTAGAGAGGCCAAAGGGTTTCAAGTATAAAGACTCTCCACGGCTGCTACAGGACTGGTGATCCACCAACCCATCCCAGGAATGAACACAGCTCTCAGTACCAAGGCCACCAAGTATTCTCTGCTCTCCGACTCCATGTCCAAATCCGACAACTCCACGTCTCCAACGTGGCCCCACTCAACGAAGCTCACACTTCGGTGGAACGCCAAAATCAGAAGAAGCCCCTTAGCACCTTCTGCAGCTCGTGATGAGGGAGGCAAGAACCTCTCCCTTCTGCTCTCCTCCCGGGCACATGCCAGAGAGGGAACCTGACAGAGATTCATGGTGCTTTGGGGCTTTTACAGAGAGAAAGGATTCTCCCTCTGCCTCCTCCTGCCTGCAGCCACCGTCAGGAGCAAATCCCAGATCCTGCCAGTGGGGGACAAGGAATGCAAACTTCATCCCTTGCAGTCTCCCAAGTCATTCCGTTATTTATGCTTGCCCCTAAGTCTTGCTGGTCAGGCTGTATTCTAAAGCAATTCTGTTAATGATTTGCTTAATGTTCTCACTACACACAGTTGTCCTGATTCATTCTTGTCAGAGGAACATGTCCCTCTTAATCCATTTTAAAGGAAATAAACCACAAAGACTAGTTAAGTGCGCCTAAGGCTCTTGCTAGTCCAACATGTTAAGGCTAGAAAGGAGGAGAACATATTGAAAAAGAAATAGCAGGCAATTTTTCATGCAGTTATTTTACAAACTGCACGCCTCCTGTGAATAGCGAGGCTGTAGCCAAAGCTGGGTGCCCCCAAGAAATATTTATCTCCCAATAACTGCAATACTTGGCAAGTGAGATCACTCGCTACGGATGGGGAAAAGCGACGGAGCCAAGAATGCTTCA